GTCTAATCACGAGAACAAGAGTCATCCCAAATGCGACGCTGTTGCTTGCAGTCTATCCTGTGGGCACTTCAATAGGCAGGCGAAGGAGTATCAGTGTCTGCACACGTGGTGTGAAGCAGAGTTCACGACGTCAAAGGAGTTAAATCGACACTTACGTGAGAAGAAGCACGTTTGTAACAGTCAAGGATTAGATAGAGAAGCGTGTCCGGTTTGCGATCCACTGACAGGCGAGTTGGATGTGTTGCATGACGAGCCATTGCAAGCAACAATGGCCAGGCTCCTAAGCGATGAAGTGTACTACAATGATATGCTTGAGCTAGCCTATAGACTCGCTACKATGGCTTGCGCAAACATGATGCCAAAGCCATCACCGGACACATTAATCGATCTCTTTAAGGGTCAAGGATCAGCAACTATACCTGACAAAGATTGGAATGAGTATATGAGCAAACTGGGCATCACTTCTTGTAAGTTACATACATTGCTATTGTACATGATGTACATTGTATTTGTTTGAGTGACTAACAACAATGTTCTCAAAATAGCACAACTTCCAACTTTTGAGCAATTTGCCAACCTTGCATCTGGAGTGACCAAACAGCCAGAGGAGATCAAGGATCGTGATTACAAGCTCTCCAATATCAAGAAGCGTCTTATCGAGAGAAGAGATGAGTTTGTCAAGTCTCTTAAAGTTATTCCAACMAAGGACGGCAAAGGGGCATACTTTGACTTGGGTGAGGTTGTACACAGACTTGCACTTAGAGAGTACGGCACCAGCTCCACGAGTAGCAATACAAGCAACACAAGCACAACTGATCCACCCCCAACTACCTCATCGACGCTGCCGCCACCAGCCATCCCAAAAAAGGTATGATTGATCAATGTTCTCATACTCACTGACGCTCAACCACATATCCATTTCAACAGATCATTTTGAAGGTGGCCCTTGATTCGGCAGTTGGGACCAGGTCAAGAAGACATTCCTTTCTAACAGGATCAGTTGAGATCATCAACAAGGACAAGTCAATCGCCCAGCACAAGTCATACAGACACAATGCACCATTTTTGGTATACCACGGAAAGGAATCACATGACACCTTTGAGAAGCATTTGCCAGAGGTAATGGAGATGATCAATGAGCTCTATACTAGCAAGACTGTAAGTACCTGAGTGTTCTGGCCCAGTCCACCACTGTCACTCACTCACTCATTCACACTCACTCATTCACACTCACTACAGTTGGACTGTCTTCCAGGATGTGAGATTGAGTTGATCGTTGTCTCCGATTACATGTGTTTATGCACACTCAAGGGCTGCAAGTGTGTGTATCACCCAGCCACCACCTACAAGTGTGCTTGGTGCACATGCAACATGGACAACATCCACACATTCGATCCAYATTCATTCGAACTCAGGTCAGACTTTTACAAACGAGATGGCAATGATCGGTCAAAGAACATGTTGGACGAGAAGGGACCAGACACATGGATTGGAGATGAGTTACACACTCCACTATGCTCCCTCCATATGGTGATGAACAACACCAGACAGATGACAAAGAGGTCTGGCTATTTGTTTACACCGCCTCCCATCAGGGAGGTGGCCGCGCTAGAGAGAAGAATCGATGAGACCTCTGGGATGATCCAAAGATTGAAGAAGCAGTTGGAGAAGACTGCAAAGAAGGTCGCCGCAGCCAAGAAGACAGTCTCATCCCACAAGAAGGTCGTGGAAGTGTTCAACTCAAAGAATAGACTCCCACAGGAGGATGCCAACTCAATCAACAACCTGGCTGTTGAGCAGGTGCAATCGAATGGCAAGCACAAGTGGATGTTTGGCGGTCTCATCGTGACACAGGCGTATGCTAATAGTAGGCGTTTGGTCAAGACTCACTCCCACAAGATAGAACATTTGGTGGGTTTCGTCGATAGCACCCAACAGGAGATTGATCGTCTGGACATCATTCTACAACGTGACACCCAGGCCCTCCCCGAGCAAATCATGGCCGTCAATCAATATCTGGATCCGTCTGGTGCTCTTCAGAATGACACCACCAAGCTTGCTCAACGTTTGAAGAGTGTGCAAGAGGCTGTCCGAGACAAGTTCTTTTCTGCAATTCGCAAATGTGGCATCCAGGTACCCAAGACCGAGTCTGGTGACACCATTGACAGTGTCTTTGAGAAGCTGACACTCAACTACACAGACACCATATCAATAATCAACAACTCTGACCACATATTTGATAATATGTTACAGTGCCAACAGTTCACCTCGAGACCCGCCCCAGAGGCAGTCGTTCAGAATGCAGAGGCAATCGATCAAGTGCCAGCAGCACCTGCCAAAAGAGGACGTGGTCGTCCTCCCTCTAAGCCATCCGCTAACCTCACAGCCAAGCCCGACGCCAAGCCCGCAGCCAAGCCCGCAGCCAAACCTGCCGCTCAAAGTACTACATCTATATCCATTGACAATTCAACATCCATGCCACCAGCCGCACCAACCTTCAATCATTCAATCAATCAATCAATTCAATCATCACATGTATTATTATCCACAACCTCACCCTTGGCACCATTTGAGACAAGGACGGACTCCAATAGTCCAATCAATCAATCACTCGATCAAACGACAAGGACATCAACATCGACGACATCAACAACATCAACAACATCAACAACATCAACAACATCAACATCATCAACATCTATATCCAATGCGCCGACAGAGCTGAGTGAGACCAAGAGACAATTCCATCCATTGACCAAGACTCAGTCACAAGATTTGAGGAAGAGGATTGAGGGTCTACCCTACAGTGTCGCCAATCTAGAGGTCCAGAAGGTTAGTATACACAGTCACTCTACCATTTCATTGTTACACTGCGCTAACCTTCAGTTACAGCTCAATGTGTTGTGGAAACAATACACTTTCTTGGTGTTTATGGCACAGACCAATCAATACAGAATCACTGAGGACCTATACCTGTCCTACTCCATCCCATTTGGTAATAACTACGTCAACTTGTTTGGAAAAGTTGTTACCTCCTATATCCATGCACAGGTTCTACACGTTGGAACATTCTTACATAAGTATGGGTCGTTGGATCGCCTAGCAAACTTTGGCCTAGAGAATAGACACAAGGTCGTCAAAGAGATCGTGGATGGATCCAATCATCGCTTCACTCCAGAGTTTATGCAATCATTGTTGATAGACTCGTACCTGTCGGGAGGAATGGTACCAAACATAGACGCGATCAGTGCAACCATAGAGGGTGATCGTCCAACCATTCAACCATTGAAGAGGGCCAAGTCCAACGATGCCTCAAAACAATCTCCAAGGACATGGTACAACCAGTTGGCAGAGTCCACCATCACTATATACGACTCTGAGTTCGCTTCCATCCAAGCCAACACACCGCTGTCGGTGATATCTAAGAAATATTTGTCCAATGTACTCCAAAATTATAAATTAAATAAATAATAAATACCACAATAATCTACATCAAGATCTATATCCATAACAATCATTTGTATTATTATACGACCAAACCATAATTATTTATTAATTGATCAATCAATATCTCAAAATATACATACAGTTTTGTTGACTTTGAGTCAAAATGTCTCTTTTGAGATGCCAAACACTCATTTTATTTATTGTGCACTTGTGCGTGGGATGGACCTCGCTCATATAAACTGAATCCCCACCTCGCACAGAATTGAATTTGTTGGGTAACACCATCAAACACAAATCAGGCGTGGCCCAACCAATCAAACACGCCCATAGCCAAAAATAATAATTTTTAATCGGAGTGACGCGTTCAGATAATGTGCTTTGGATCACCTACCTGTTGCGGGGCCATCTTTGTTGTGATG